TGTTGCATCCTCACACTTCACATCCCCACCATACATCCTTGTCACATACATGTCTCACCGTCACACCTCACATCTCACATCCTTGCGTTCGGCAAATATTTGCAGTACTACACGTACGGTTTCATGCGGTCATACATTCATGTGCACACACGTTGTGTGTACTCGCGGTCGCATGCCCTGGTGCTTCACATTCACGGGTGTATGGTGCTTTGTGTACGGCATGTGCGGCTGAAACCGCATATTAGGAATGTGTAGTATAGCAGCACCGGAGCGTTGCATTGCAAAAGTCAGCCATCATGCAGGGCACTGCGAAGAGATGCAGTTCCTCACCGCGGGCCGCCATGTAACAGATGCAGATGTGGAACACGGTGCCACAGAAGCAGTCGGGGTTGCTCTGCCGCTTGTCGCCAGGTTTGAAACCAAAAAGGATGTCCATAAAGGCGAGCTTAACCGTGTTGAGGAGTGCTTGGCTGGTGTAGGGGTTGTTTCGCACCCGCCACCACTTGTCCATGACACGCTTTTCCACAACGGAGCACCATCCTCACCAAATTCCAGAAACTGCCCAGCGGCCACGACTGCAGCCGCACTGTGCAAGTCGGCGGGGTTGACATTAAACATGAGGATTGGCAGCCCGGTTGCGGTGGCTACACCACGTAGATTGGCGTGCATGTTGTGGTAATATGCATCTGTCATGTCGATGCGTGCGACTGTTCGCCGAAGAGAGGTGACGAGGGTGTGCACGAGAGGTGACATGTCTTGGAGCAGGTGGCGGCGATCCGGGTGCATCTTCGGCAATGCCAGGATGTCCGCCATCGCTTTGACAGCCTCTCGCGGGATGGCGCCCACCGTGTCGATGTCCTGCTGGCAGCACTTCACTGTAACCCATGTCTGCACTTTTGCGTCCTCCATGTTGAGCACGTCCACCATGCGGGCGAGCATGAGGAGGTTGCCGCTGAGCTGCTGCTGTGGCACACGCGTAGACACATGCTGGAAGAAGGTCCGGTTGCTCATACCCAGGGGACGGAGGCCGCCCTTTGTGTACAGAAATGCGGTGGGGAAGTTGCTGGCAAGCACATCTTCCCGGGAGTAGTCCAGGATCTGCAGCAGGGCGGAGGCATAGAGCAGGGAGCATGCATTGGGCAGGTCGATTGTGATATGCATATCAGTGAGGAGGCACAAGCCTTATGCGGGTATGTCATGCACGAGAGTAGCAGCGCATCAGGGAATACACTTCACCCACCCATAACCAGCTTACCTTAGAACCACGGCCCCCAGACGCAAAGACCAGCCGGTGTTCCGCTGTCAGCTCACGGTGTAGCTCCACCGGGTTTCGTGCATCATCACCTAATCCCGGCACAGTTGTGTCAGGGACAACAGGCACCAGAACTCCGAGCTCCTCGAGACCAGCATCCTCCGGTGTGTTGTCCGCTTGTGACACTCTGGGTCCATTGCCTGCCACTCCTTCATCGCTTGGTCATCGATATGCCTCTCGGAGGTGAGGTTGCTGAGGTAGTTGACCCAGGCCACAATATTAGCTGCTCGGATGGACAACACCTTGGTGCTCTTGAGCTTTTCTAGCAGCTCCTCCTTGCTGCTGACGACATCCATGCAGAGGACGGTGATGTTCTCCGGCAACGACACAGCAGAGCATGGGATGGTGTCCACCCACTGATCGAGTGATGGGTTCGCCATGGCTATCTTGTGCATTGTGACGGTGATGGGCTGCAAGTCAGGCGGCCGGTTCTTAACCTTAAGCGTGTAGATCTGCTGCTGCACATGGCCCAGCCCCAGTATGTTGGCTTCCAGCACGGTAGGCCACTCCAGATGCTGCCCATCCTGATTGATTTCCGGCACGTCTCCACCATCATAGCGTGCGAGAGCAGCCTCCGGGATGCGTCCGCCTGGATGCGGAGGCAGCAGCCACAGGCAGGGCAGACCAGCCAGAATAACCAGTGCGGTTGTGTGCGTGCATGCATGAACACCCAGCACACATGATCGGCAACGAAAGCACCGCATGCAAATTCTCATGAAATGCGTATGTCCCAGCAGCCTACCCCAGAACCGGCCACAACGAACAACATCCCACAGGAAAGCAGCCGCCAAAACCCATCAAATACATATGTTGCCACACATTCGTTCCCCCGACCCAGTGTTTAGTGCTTACATTCCAAGGCATGAATGCAGTCATTGCACATCATGATGATGTCGTCGCCAGCCTCGTTGGTGTGCACTGTACAATTCTCCCCAGAGCGCTCCACATGCATGCAGTACAGCACTAGCCACACACCCAGAGCAGTGGGATCCGGCCGTGGCTCCATGCCAAGGTTGTGGCGGCCACGAAGGGAGCATCCATTCCTCATGCTGGCCGTCCGCGTCTTGTGGCCGTGTCGCATCCACTTCTGCTTCTTCATCGGAAAGAATAGACTCCTGCTCGTCGTCAATACCATCCGTCTCACACCGACGCTGCCGTGGCAGACTAGATGGGCCCGCCTCATGCGGCGGAAAGTCCTCCGGGAAGCCGTATGCTCCAGTGTTGCCCAAATGGTCCCGCACCTGTTGCAACGAACTGCACTGCTGGGTGGGCTGGTGGTGCTCTTGGTCATCCGAACCACCAGAGTACC